TGGTAAGAATTTAAAACCCTCAGAATTGCTTCTTTCGTTCGCTATGCTCTTCTTTAAAGTGTCAACTTCTTTCGCAACGGCTGCAAGAGAACCCTATCATCAATTTGTTGCTCGACGGCAGAAACTCGCTCTTCTTATTCTTTTGGAAGGAAACTCTTTCTTCTACTCGTTCTTCCACACCGAAACTCTTTCTTCTATTTCTTCTTTGACCTTTTACGGAAGAAACCTTTTCTTCAATTTGCCCAACTTTATTTTCAACACCTCTATTCTGCCTTCCATAGCATCAAATTTGGTTTCCTATTATGCAGGCAATTTCTCTTTTCATTTCGTATTGACCTTTTCAATCTTTACTTGTACGGCTTTTATTTCGTCTTTAAAAGTTAATTGACCAGCTTTCCAAAATTTTGAATGCTTCATTTCCTTTAAAGGATTCATCTCCTTTAACGGATCTTGGCCCAATTTCATTTCTTCCTTAACGGATTCCTGGCCCAATTTCATTTCTTCTTCTTTAAATGAGGCAAAGGCTGAGATCAACTGCCTTAATTGCTCTTCCATCGCTCTTGTTATTGGCATTCAAATCCCACTTCCTGACACCAAAAATTGTTGCGTGCGTACGGGTTCGTTATGAAATGAATGCACAAGTCCGATGAAAAAATGAACAAAAATTTATTATTATCACAACAAAAATGCTTAAATTTTCTCAAATTATCATGCAGTATTACAATATCTCACAGTAGTTATCTTTTTTTAACTACTCAAATGTCCAATAGAACGTAATTCAAAACAGCTAAAGAACGCTAATCCGCGAATTCGCTACAATCAACAAGAGCAGTTTTCTAAACAACAACAAAACTAAGCAACTACTACGAACTGAGATGTTTTCCTCCTTTTATAAGATTTTAAAATCACGCGCTAGAATTTTCCAGTACTTTTCTCGAAATCAAAAAGAGATATTTATTTATTTAATGCACGCGCTCTTGTATTTTCAATTTTCCTGCTTAGCTTTCTTTTAATATTCGTCACGCGCTGCACTGCGCGAGAAATAAAACCATTTAATTTATAATTGAACTAACATTAGCTTTTTTTAAATACCAAATCGTAACAATAAATTTGGTGTTTCCCAGAGTTGTGAGCCTGATTCAAAATCGTGTAGAAGAATTCTTCCTCTATACACTCACTGCAAATAGTTCAAGTTTGCACGATTTAAAAAGGTTAGTTGGGAATGTATTATGGAAAGCTTAGGGATATCTGCTAAGGGAGGGATGCTTCGTGGAGTACTTTCTAAGGGAAACTAACTCGTATACACGTTACACATGGGGAAAACCACGAAAACACCCATGCAGTCAGCCCGTTCGCGGGATTCGAACCTCGAACCGAACTACCAGTGTTCAGCGACTTTACCGCTCGGCCGCTGGTGGGCCCTGATTTTTAAAAAGATCGTCAAAGTACAAATTAAAAGCGTACAAACGATATATTAAATATTGCACATAATATACGATACATAACTTTTGCTCTACCCTCGATCTGGTCACGATTCTCCTGGGACAGTTGAAACTTCAACGTAAGCTCCAGAGTCGTGAAAGTAAAAGGAACATTTTAATTTCCTTTTAAAAAATAACGAATAGCAATCAAAAACGCAGAACACGTGAACGAGAGAGAAATGTTCCAGAACTATTGATTCGAGTCATAAAAAAATAAAGTTTCCAGAATAATGGTCCAGTGACGAAGTAAAGTTAAAAGAATAAAGTTTTAAGGTATTTGCTCCCTCCTTTCTAAATACGTTCGTGGAATAACCACAGCAAACTCGGTCCATATTCGACAGGTCCAGGGTCAAGTTCCGGCGAGGACATTGCTCATGTTTCGTGTTTCCTACTTCAAAAATCTGAATGCCTCTGCAGTGATGCCCGAGCAAAAAAAAGTGGTGGATGATGATTTTTCACCACTAGGATCAGGCAAATGGGTCCCCTAATCCCCAGTTACCCTTTAAAAGTGGTAGTAGATAAGGTATTTTCTCCCTTCTTTCCGCATGCCTTCGTGGTGTAACGGTAGCACACTCGGCGCGTATTCGAGGTCCAGGTTCGAGTGCCGGTTAGGGGCATTGTACATTTTTCCCATCTTCTGCTTCAAAATAACCTAATAACTCTACAAAGTCATTACCTACTTGTAATAACGAAATCGACAAATTGTGCACTTGATAGTTCACTTTAGCCATTGATAATGTTTGAATGTCATTTTGATAATGTTCTCACTTTCTCTCCAATTGGTAGGTAACAGGGGACAAATAAACCAAATTCTAATTTCATCCTATTACAGGAAGCACTAACATCTGACTTACTCATTAGAGTTCAAAACGTTCTTTAAAACAAAAAATTCTCTTCGTTATTCTTGCAGTTATGGTTATAAATTTTAAATCTTTCATTCAATATTTTCAGTAGTTTGGTAAATCTTGATAACGCTCTTTTGAGCATTAACGCGGTATGTTAAGTGATAATAGTCGTTCACAATACACAAAGTAAATTTGTAATAAAAATGATCTCGTGACATAACATTACAAACCTAACATTTCAGTTCAGTTAAAATATTATTTGAATTTCCTTGAAATATGAAGATATATATTTCAAAAAATAACCATACAAACATTACCTATTGGATCAGTTAAAGAATAATTGTAATTTAGCTCTAGAAAAGGAATAAGCAATAATACCTCAGAGAAAAATCTGAAAGGTTTAAGATTTTAAATTACGGCCAAAAGAACTTTTTTTTAACATTGTGTGTGTTACCTTTATTTATTAACAGGTTTTTCGCACTTAAACCATAAAATTCAGTTCAAGAGCAATATCGCAAAATAATTTTAAAATTGAGCATACACAGTCTCATGCACTGGAGATAAAAATGTTTTTCTGTACAACGTTGCCATTGCTCGCTTTGAAATCCTTGAGTTTGTTAATCAAAAATTCGTTAAAGTTTTACAAAATATGAAATCGATAATAAAACAAATTCCAAATTTCGGCTTCCAAATGCCAATATTCGCAGTAGGATTACGTCATTCAAAATTGGATAGCCCTAGGTACCGTTGTTTTATATCACAATGCCAGAAACACACATACATTTATGCAGATTCTTCATTATTTAATTTCTTTAAATATAATACAGGGCGATAATATTTGGTGGCAACAGTTTATAAAAGTGAAGCTGACATTCAGAGTGATTCAACGCAAAATCACAAAACGAAAATAACAGTCCTTCAGAGACAAAGCCCCTTTGGACTAAAAAGTCGTCTTTGAAAGTAAGGCAAGTAAATGATGTGTACGGTTAGTGCAACGTCTTCTAGGGTTTAGCCCAGTTCGCTATACTTCAGAACAGAGATACTGAAATTCGTTTTTTGAATATATTAGGCTAAAATGTCAAAACTCTTTACTTTATAAGTAAGAGAGAAGATAGAGTTCATTATTGTGTTCAGCTAACATTAAACTTCTTCAGTTTAATAGAACTGAATGAGGCTTGGATTATTTATACGATTATGGCAAATCATTTGCATGAAGGAAAGAATGGCTTTTCGGAAGATCTTTTAAGTGTACATTATACATGGAGAAAATCACATAAACTCCCATGCAACAATTCCATTTGCCAGCATTTGAATACGGGTCAAACTACAAGTACCCAGTGGTCTTATCCGCTCAAAGTCCGGCTGGTAGGCAGAACATAATAAAAATAATGAGACTGTAGGACATTTATTCGTTTACATTGCGAGCAAGTACACTGCAGTACTATTAATAACATAACTGTTCATCAAGAGATCACAGTTTCACAATTTGTTTTAAAGGATTTGAATTGCAAATAGTCACTGTACTAGCTGCGCAGCTTCATGTATGGGCGCAAATCTGAGCTAAAATTTATCTCAACTAGAACTTTTATTCTCTGTAATTAGTCTTTATGTGAATCTAGTTTGTTGATTTATATGTATTTTTTTTTTAATTTTCTGGGACATCTTGGGTATTGGGTTGAAACATAAGTAATGTTTTTTTTAGTTTAAAAATTTTTATTTTAACAAGGCAAAAATCAATAAATTAGTCAATAATATACGAGTTTTTGAACTTTCTCCATACACCCAAGATGTCGAACTATAGTCATTTGGCTACAACCCATTCGTTTGGCTGATTCTCGAGTGATTTCACGCGTGTTTTCCTGCAGAAGTTGATTCAAACGCTCTTCATCAAACTCATTTGGTCGTCCGGAACGAGCAGCGTCTTCGACGTCGAAATTTCAATTTTTGAGTTTGGCAAACTAATTTCTTGCAGTTCGTTCAGGCATTGCACTTTCTCCATACACTTCATAAATCTCTCGGACAGCTGCAGCATTGGCGCCTCGATTAAATGCAAAAAGGTGTCGAAAATGCTTCTTTTTGTTGACTTGACACTCCATTTTAATAATCTGAAAAGTAACAAAAATTAGCTCAGACAAAAACATCAAATGCGCCATCTTGTAGACGGGAAAGATTCTCTTTCGATTAACACAAAACATTACGCCAATACATTTTATGTTTACCGCGTAATTTTAGACACAACACAAACGGCCAGTACTTATGCTTCAATCCAATATATTTCTGCTGTGGTTTTCTATTTCCGTTTTATAAAGCAGAATTGTTTCTATCGAACTCTTTATAATTAAAAACTTTTATGTGTAATAAGTCAGAGAAAGTGAATTTTGAGTTAAAAGATGAAATAGCATTGAATAAAGAGAAATATCCTGTATCTTTTTCTCTTACCTAAAATGGGATCTAATTTCCACTCCATTAGCGATTATCATTAGAGGTTAAAAAGCAGTCTTTCTGAATTAGGATACGTTCATAAGTTTTGAAAACGTTTCATTCATTATTATCACGTTTTATTAAAGTAAATTATCACTGTTCTTAAATTTATTAAAAATTACGACCTAGGATGATTTTAAACCCATTCAACTAATAGATATTCAAATATCTATTTGACATTTCTCATTTTCAGGCTACAGTGGTTTTAGCCAACGTTCCTGGGCCAGAAGAGATTTTGACTCTAGGGTCAAAGAGACTAAGAAAGATCACTTTCTGGATGTCTCCTACAACCGAAATTCCAGTAGTATTCTCCGTCATATCGTATGCTGGAACTATACAACTCTCTGTATCAGCTGATAAAACGGTGGTTGCACAACCGCAGCTGCTCGTGAATGAATTTGTGTTGGAGGTAAGGATCAATTTGTTGCTCGTAATCAAGTAATTGTAACTTAATTACGTGATTAATTAAATATTTGATTTCATTACTTCGTTGGAACTACGGAAGAAGAAATATGTTCAGTAATCCGAAATATTGTTTAAAAGATTTCAAACTAAATCATGAAATCTCCTTCCGGTTAAATAATAAATGTTAAAAAAGGAAAACTTACCATTAGAACACTTATTCAGTTTATTCTCAAAGAGAAATATTTGCAGAAATAATTATATAAGCTTTCATATTTATTTTATTTAAATAGATCATGACATAGCTGAGGTTAAAGACAGAATTTTATCCTATATTTTGTAAACGCATTTTAAACGCCTCACTGATATATGCAATCAATCATACGTGCTTTTGAAATGCTAAAATTTAATAACTGAAGATGAAATTTAATGTTTTTATTATAAAGAACTTATAAAATCCAAAGTGATATATTTAACAAATTAGTATGTTAAAATGTAGCTATAGTCTGTAATGATATTTTATTTTGATTTATATGAAATGAAAAAGAACAGCTTGGAAATTATTTTACTAAAAATGCATAATGTTTCTTAAACACCATCCTCAAACCAATCCAGCTAATATTTTTTATGTAAACCATATAATTAATGAAAAAAATGTACGTATTTATAAATTCAGTTAAATAATACGAAATGTTGGTACTGCAGATACCTGAATTTCGAAGTTTTAAAGGAAAATGCTGACCGAATGCGAATTCTGTTTGATAGAATTTTCAGATACTCCAGTGTGTTACCAAAGAAACGATGCCTAATAATGATGTATAATGAAACGCACAACGAAACAAAATGTGAAAAATCAGTTTGATAGTTACCATCACTGTTTTAAGTATAGTTATTACGTTATTAGGCCAGAAAGAGCTATCCTTATTTTCAGAGCAAACATAATAACCCTGTTCATTGCAAGTGAAACATTGCAAATAAAATGTTGATTTTTTAAAAGAATTCTCCTCTGTTTCTTTCGAAACATTAACTTTAAGTAAATTGTAATTTATTAGATGTCAATAATTGTATTCTTTTAATTAGAAATGGAAAAGAAGCTTATATGATTTCCACAGAATTCTGTTTGCACGGAGTCTTCTAGATCGTTTGTACTGATAATAACATACTAATTCAAGTCTCCAGACGTTCCGGAGAGAATCATAACTCCTCGATTATCAGATAATTCTGAAATTACGACCCCTTTGTGAGCCATTACAGGGGCGGTCCCCAAGCAACCGTCCCTGTATAATCTTTCATAATGGAATATGGTTAAATAATTCTCTCCCTTTGAGATGAGGTATTGCACAATTAACTTTTCATCAGAGCTATTATGAGACTAGATAATGGATTCCAAGAAAGGATCAAAATTGTAACCTGAGTTAAAACATTAAGTTTGTGTTAAAATATCATTTTCTGTTGGTTGTGTTTCAGCAAAGCTTCTTTCTTAGAATTATAAATCCCAACAATTCCTATTAAAATTTGCATGTCATGCATCAATAAAGTTTTCTTTAGTACTCGTACATTCCAATTTACAGTGCTACCAGTTTGTAGTACTTTTCAAGTATTAAGTCATAATTTGAAGAATCAGACTGAAAGTGAATTAGTTTTTTATATAAAAAATTTAAACCGAAATTTACTTTTAATATATAAAAAGTTTAGTTGAGCGTTTAGTGGAATATTATTTTTTTGTTCTTCATTCACCGGCAAACACTGATCAATCATGCTGAAAGAAAATTTTTCAGCATTTTTTTAAGTGCTTTTTGAGGTAAAAGTGCAAATTATTTCTACTGAAAAGCAATCAAACTTAAGAACTTAAAAACATGCTTTTCCAAACATTCATCAATTTCTTCCTCTCTCTTGAAACTTCCGCCAAGTTTGTAGAGACATTAGGTATTTTTTTTCGAAGCAGGAAAGATGAAAAATTAGCAAATGCCTTCGCCGGGAATCGAACCATGGACCTCTGGGATACCGGCCCAGCGCGCAGAACCACTACACCACGAAGGCACGTTAGGAAAGTGGAAGAAATACCTTTAAGTTTACCAAAGTTTAAAATGTCTTCTTGTTCGGTCCTTTCCACCTTAAACATTTGGGATACTGCGATATTTTTCAAACGGGTTTAGTAACGCTACTCACCTTAAATAATTGTTATTCCCTCAGTGTCTAATGCTAAGTTACGATGTAAAAGCTTTAATGTTTATATTTTACTGGTTAAAGTAAAATATACTATCGCTGCATATTTTATAATCAAGATATCATAGTGGAAAGATGATGAATGGAAATTTTGGCATTTTTCTTGAAATACCCATTGCTACATAGAACTTTCTATACATAGTTGTGGCTAGAGAAGCCTAAAAGCTTGCATTTTCTATAATCTTTTCTCTGTCGATCTGTCAAGAAAAAATGAGCTGTAATGCATTAGATATGTGAGCGGATCAGGCTGATTCGCTTCTAAATTCTAAGGGATGACATTTGGTCATTCTAAGGAATGACTACTCTGAAACATTTGTACTGGTTGAAGAGGAGGAAAATTGTCAAATGCTCCCGCAAGCATTGCTGCCTGTAAAACTGTTACACAATAAAGAAAACCAGTTAAAGACTATATTTTATTTAAATTCCTACTATTAGCTTACACTCTCCCTATATCTTGTTCAAATTTTCAATCGTTAATAAATTACTTTTTATTCATCCACACAAGTTCAAATACATTTTTTTAAACTTGTAGTGGATGTTAGTACAGTAAGAGTGTCGGTCGATCAGGTCGAGAACATGGGCAGTATAAGCTTTAGAACGTGAATTAAGTTTCTGTGATTATTTATACAATTGTTTTAATTCGTTGTTGTATGCAATTATATTTTAACGTTTAAAACAATTAGGTATTAATAATTTATTAAAAATTCTATTTCATGTTTAGAAAGATTTTAAATTTAATTATCGAGTGAAATGGCATTTTGATGCTTAGTAGAATTCTGATATTGTAGATTAACTGCGTAATTTTATTCGAATGTACTTTACACGAATTTAAGTGTTTAAAATTTAGCTTAGAATCTGCATTTTATCACGAGTAGAATAAACTACACATTTTATACATAACCGTAAAATCAGTTTTGTCATTAGTGATATCCCTGAGAAAATAACAGTTATATTCAGGCGATATACCAAAGCCGCATATTTTTACTTAACAGTATTCTAACTGGATTATACCTTTTTAAAATTAATAACTTTACTGGATTATACTTTTTAAAATTAATAACTGAAATAACCAAAAATTGGAAGAACGTTTAGACCTTCTTATAAGATAAATTGAAAACTTTTCAATCTAATACTACTAATCAAGGATATTTTCAATGGAGGATTACTTTATTAGCAGTTTTATTCCTATGTGTTACCAATAAATGAGCAAAATGTTCAAGAAGAATCATAATTCTGTAAATGATGGAAGGCAGAGTGTTGGTTCCTGCTTTGACAAGCATATTTTGCTTATTTTTTTACTTTTTTTCATGTCACTGAAGATGTAAGCCATTAGGAAGGAAACACATTTCCATTAGTCTTCGTCATTAGCTCTTAATCCTCAATATCTCTGAAAGCCCCATCAGACGAACAGTTTACCATACATTTGTATGATTAATTGCGGAAGAATAATGCTTTCCAATTCTTCCTCTGCCGTTCTCGCCTTTCGACAAATGAGAGTGATGCTCCTACTCTTAATTACTCAACAGGTTAAAGTATTTGCATCAAGCGGTGTAAAGTTAATTTAATGTCATTTATAAGCTGTTTCTTATTTTAGAAGTTCAGCAATTAATAATATTAAATTTTTATTTTTTATTCCAGCCATATTTCATTGTTTCAAATGGCCGTACGACTGTAACTTAAAGCAGTGGTTCTCAACCTTTCAACTAACGCGTACCATCTGAACAAAAACTGAAAAACTTTAGTACTGCCACTACATTTTACAATTTCTCAATAGAAATATTAAAAAATATATATATATTTTTTTCATTTTCATAACCTGTTGGTTGCTTGTCATAAAAATAATGCAATTAAAAATTGGTTGCCATTTTAATTATCAATATTTAAGTTGTAAAAATTTAATTCTAAAATTTAGTGCGAAATTTGGGCTTGTATAAGAGAGATAAATTTGTGTCTAGTCTTATTTCACTTAGTTTTAACCGTAAATTAGGATCCATTTTTAATTTCTGTAATTATTTTACAAATATAACATGGAAGAAAATCCTTATTCACACAAATAGGTTGTGCAAAAAGGAAATAAAAATTTAATAGCTTTATTTCAAATGCCTTTAAATTCTCTTTTACAGTTCAGCCAAAAATTAACATTTGCGTTATTTTTGCAATCTTCAGTTCGAGTTCTATCACAGGAAATTTATATTCATTGTTATTTTTCTTTACGAGATAAAATTTCAGGTACATTTGAAAAAAATGGATTTCTAATTCAATTTTCCTTTTCGTAACCATCGGGAAAATATGTGTTGAAATTATTTATCTATGAAAAACAATGATTTTTTAATGTCGGATACTAATTCTTCTTCTATTTTCAAATTATATTCGGTTAGGAAACTTTTCTAAAAGTGGTAGAAAGCTTAAAATATTGTTATCCAATTCTTTGATTATTAGCTCGAGTTTTTTATCATTCCATTTATTTTATCTCTGATAGTAAACAATTTACCACTTTGCATTTGTAATCCTAAATTTAATTCATTTAACTTTCCCCAAATATCAGCTAAATATGCTAAAAGCACTAACCATAATTAACTAAATAAACATTTTTGCAATTCAACTTTTGAACCACAAAGAAAAATTTGAATTTCAGATCAAAATTGTCAATTTGGAAAATTTCACTTGTAGTTGCTCTATCATGAAGAGATTCACAAAATAAATATTCTTCTGCAATTCATTTATCTTCTTCGAAACATATGTAAACTAATAATTGAGCAAAGTTTGTTATATCAGTACTTTCATTTAATTGCAATACGAAATACTCGCTG